CCCCAGCCTCCTAGAGCGCTGGGTCTGAAGGCATGTGCCACCAAGCCAAAGGAGTCAGAAAAATACAAAAGCTTAAAAAAAAAAAAAAAAAAAAAAAAAAACATAACCACAGTATCATTCTCACATCTCAAAAAGTTAACCATATTCCTTAAAATCATGAACAGCTCATGGGTTTTAATTTTCCCCGGTTACTCATAACTTCGTTTTACAATGAGTTTGCATTTGAATCAGATGAGGTCAGACATCACATTTGCCTGAATTTCTTGGAATCTAGACTTTTGACATTCCTCAGCTTTGCTTTTCTCCTAATTTTGTTAAAGAAGAACCGGGGTGGGGGGGCTGATAGCTCAGCAGACTAAAGCGCCTGCTTAGGCAAGCGCAGAGACTGCAGCCGGGTCCTGGCACCACATGCCGCATCAGCCCGCCGCCCCACGGAGCACGAACGTACGTAGAGGCCTACGCCTGTAATCCCAGCTGTGTGGGGAGGCTGAAGCAGGAGGATCCCCACGAGCCAGCGCTGCGTAGTAAGACCCTGCAACAACCAAATACATTTTTTTTTTTAAAGGCTGCAGCATAGGGCACTGCTGCTGAAGTGTGCTTAAAGAGGATGCCTCTATGCACCTAGAGGGCTAATAGGAGTTAGCATATTGTTTACACATACATTTTCATGTTAAAAAAGAAACCCTCTCAAACAGCATCATGATGTCAAAAAGGAAAGAAACATCCTCAAAATACCTGGAAATGTAATCTAGTTTAGAGTGGGTATTTTTCTGAAGCTGTATCCATAACAGCCTTATTTTAAAATAATAACTTTTAAAAAAGCATACTATGAGAAAACAGACCGGCCAAATAGCTCAGTGGATTAAAGTGCGTGGGGACCAGGGTTCGATCCCTGGCCTGCCCTGCTGGCCCTGTCCCAAGGGTGCACTGAGACAGTGATGGAGACTGGGGCGGCGCACACCTGTAATCCCAGCACTTAGGGGGTTGAAAACAGGAGGATCCCTGAGTCCAATCTGTGTATTGAGACCCTGTACTAAATTTTTTTTTTTTTTTTTTTTAAATAATAAAAATATAAGAAACTGGGCCATTTGTTGTGTAGCCTGGATTTTGGTCCTTGTACCCCTGTGCGTCATTTCATACATGCTACTGTTGTTGTATTTCAGATAAACTCATAGTTGGGTCTAAGGAACTAGATTCAGGCTCTATTTATTTATTATCAATACTGAGGATTGAACCAGGGAAGCGCAGAGCTACATCACCAGCCCGTTTTTGCCCTTTTTCGAGATGGTTTCTTGCTAAATTGTGCAGGATGATGGGGCTATGGGATCCTTGACATTCCAGATGGACAGATGGCTGGAGACAGACGTCACAGACGGCTGCAGCTGCCAGAGGGTGGGAGGGTGGAGGGGACTGGGTGCTGGCACATCTGGGGTCGGGAGGAGGCGCTGGCTGCAGGCAGCTCAGGGATTGGTGGGAGCGCAAGGGCTGCTCCGCCAGGCTCTGCCCCACAGCTGAGCACGGCACGCGCTGAGGAGCACGGTGCTGTCGACGCCTCCAGGTCCCAGGCCGTCAGTCACCTCTGAGGCTCCAGACTGCCAGGACATCTCACCAGGACAAGGCCCCTGCCCACATATTGAGGGACTGCTGGGCACCTGGCTTATGCCAGGCTGAATGCTTAGCTGCCCTGCAGAGGCGTCCAGCCAGGGCTGGGGCGCAGCTTGACAGCAGGCACTTGGCAGCACATACGATCATCTCCAGCCCCACAAGAAAGCAGGGGAGTCAGGACGTGGCCTGGGCCCACCTGAGCTTTACCACCGGGTCTTTGTCTTTTGCCCCTTTTTTCTTTTTGAGACAAGGTCTTTCTGTGTGTTCCAGGTTGCCTCTGACTCTGCTGTGTAGCACAGGCTGGCCTTGAACTCACAGCAATCCTCCTGCCTCAGTCTCCCAAGTGCTGGGATAACAGGTGCGCACGATCACACCTGGCCCTGGTCACCTTCCTGTCACTAGTAGCCAGGTCTTGCCAGCCAGAACTCATGAGTGTATCAAAAAATAATCTTTATTGTTTTGTCACAAGTATAAAACAGCAGATCACTGGCCTCTCAGTCTGTACAGGGGTGCAGGGCCTGGGGCCACCAGGCCAGCCCGTCCTGGGGCACTCAGGCCTGCCTTGAACGGGGGGCTTTCTGCAGTCAAGAGGCAGTGGAGCAGAGAACTGGGGGGGAGGCTCCTCCATCACCCCTCACCCCAACCTGCCCTCCACGCCTCCACTCCACTCAGGGCAGCGCCGGGACCCCAACACCACGGGGACCGGAGGGGAGGCCATCAGAGGGCCACGCGCGTGCAGCAGTGACGCAGCAGGCAGGGCAGGATGCCGCGGTTCAGCTGGTGGAACTCCACAAGCTGCAGCAGGTCCGTGAAGCGCGTCTGGCCATCATCCATGCTGAAGTACAGGCAGCCCTCGCCCTCGCTCTGCAGAGGGGCGGAGGTCAGGGGGACCCGAAAGGAAACGTGGGGAGCCTGGGGTGGAGGAGGCCCTGCACTAGGACCGGGTCGGCCGGGGAAGGGAGGGCCCTGCGCTCACCGGCAGGATGAGGTAGTGCTTGACCTTCTGCAGGTGGCACAAGGACAGGACAAAGCCCTGTGGGTTCCGCTGGCTCTCCCGGACCAGGAACAGGCTGCAGGGAGAGCGAGTGGCATGACAGGATGCACAGCCGCGGCTAGGGCGGGATGCAGGGGCTCGCTCCTGTGAGGGACTTCTGATTTATTTGGTTTTTTGAGAAAAGTCTCACTATGGAGACTGGGCTGGCCTCAAACTCAGGGTGATCCTCCTGCTTCAGCTTCCCGAGGCTGGGATCATGGGCGTGCGCCTCCACGCCTCCTTTCGCTCTTCTTCTGCAGCTGCCCCTGACATCTCACAGCCAGCCCAGCAGCCCCATCTGCTTTGGCCACAGACCTGTCCTAGACGACCCTATCCTGCAGCCTGTCGGGGCAACACCAGCCTCTGAAGCCCTTATCTGCTGGGTCCTCAAGGGGCCCCTGTGCTCCCCAGGACCCAACAGCTAGCCTAGCTGGGAGAGGTGAGGGGGCCCCTTTGCCTCTTTGGGGCTCCCCATAGCATAGTCGACCTGCAAAGGGCTGCACCATCCAAAGCCCAGCACGTTAACACTCAAAGGGCTACCGGCTGCCCATTCATCCGGCAACATCTTGGTAGTCAAGAGGGACCCTGCCCTTTAGCAGGCCCTGACCGGGACACTGGTGCTGGCCATCTGCAGGCTCAAGAACCAGCCCATATCCACTTCCATCTGACAGGTAGCCTAGCACCTGCCCTGGCCATCTCCCTCCCAGCCCTGTGCCCACCCAGCCCTGTCCCTTACCCGTCCACCAGGCCCTGCTGCCCGATGAGCCGCTGGCTCTCCTCGCGGGAAATGCGGCCATGGAACCAGGGCTGGGTGCGATGGATGGCTAGTGTGTGGCGAAACAGACAGACAGTCACTGGGGGAGGGGACCTCATGCTTGGCAGACATGCCAGGGAAACCGAGGCAGCCACCACCCCGAGAAGCCTGGACGGTCACCCACCTGCACTGAGGCTCGAGCCTGAGCAGGGGGTGGGCAGGCTGAGGCGGTGGTTTGTCTTTCTCTGTGGAGTTGTAGGGATGTGGGAGGTCAGGGCATGCTTGGGGGTGCTGCCCAGCACCACACCCCCATCTCCTCCCACTGAGCAGAAGCCCACTCAAGGACACCCAGCTGGGTGCAGCCCCTCACCCTCCAGGCCTGGGCCTCCTCCAGGGCAGCACTCAGAGCCTCCCGGGGATTCTCAATGACGCGCCCAGCACGGCCCGAGAAGTCCATGGCCACCAGGGTATTATCCGAAACGCTCCGCTAGAGAGAGGAAATGGGGGAAAGGGATCAGGAAGGGACCCTGGGTCGGGGCCAAGGTGCCCACCCCACTTCCTATCTTGGGTACTCACCAAGGGCTGGGACCCCAAGTCGGATGGGCGCAGGTATCGGGACTGGGCCTGCTGGTAATTCTTATACAGCTGTACCCCATACTACAGGTAGAGAAAGAAAGGGGACCCAGGTGATAAGGGCATCCCTGGGACCAGGGCTCCCTAAGAACAAGGGCCTCTGCCCATGCATAGGAGCTTCTGGAAGATTCTAGGGGTCCTCAGGAGGCTGGCTGGGACGTGCTCATCAGCAGACCTTGGGGGTGTGGCAGCGCTGTAACCTGTCATGCTGGGGATCCCCCGCCCCCCTCCTCACCTTGAAGAGGCGGAAGGCAGCCAGCCAGCAGGTGCGGCTCTGCTCATCCTCGCTGCAGAAGATGCGGAGCCCCTTGTGGCCGTTCCGGACCTTGTTGGGCTGGCAGAGAGGAAAGTCCCACTGACGCCCGTCCAGTCTCCATGGGGCACACAGCGCAGGAGTGCCAGGTCCGGGTGCAGGCCAAGGCTCTCGGTCAGATCTCACCCCCCTCCCCATGGGCCAGGCAGGGCCCAAGTCCTCACCTTGACGCAGAAGCCAAAGTCCGTGGGCATCCCATACAGCTTGCGGCCCTGCGTCACCACATACACGTTGGACTCATTCACATCTGCCACATACTGCAGGTGCCTCGTGTCCTGGACGGGACAAGCGTGCGAGACTCGGTACGGGGAGACCCTACCCTCCCACTGCTTCTCTCCAGCCAGGGAAGGCCTCGGGATCAGAGAAGACCTGAAGTGCCCAACGACACACAGCAAACAAGGGAGCCTGACTGGAACTGCAGTGAGACCACCGGCCTTTGCTATGGTCACCAGGAGTGCGACAGGCCCGGGCTGGTACCTCAGGACCTCACCTTCGAGGTGCCCTTGGTGGAGAAGTAGAGGCCGGAGCGGCGCAGGAAGCAGAAGCAGCGTTTCCAGAGCTTGCGGCCCGAGCCTCGCAGCTGCAGGAAGCCCTGGATCTCGGGGAAGCTGCCCGCGTTGAGGAAGTTCTGAGGCGGCGGGAGGCAGGAGGTGAGGGCCTTTGACGGGAGCTGCCCACCAGCGCTGATGCCGCCCTCTTTTTTTTCCCAATACTGGGGACTGAACTGAGAGCTTCACACAGAGCTACACCTCCTTACCCCTTTTTTATTTTTATTTATTTTAATTTTTTTTTAAATTTTTTGTGGAACCAGGGATTGAACTCAGGCCCTTGTGCTTGCCAGACAAGCGCTTATTCCACTGAGCTATCTTCCCAGCTCCCCTACCCCTTTTTAAAATCTTTTATTTTGACAAAGGATCTCACTGAGTTGTTAAATTGTCCAGTCTGAGGTGGAATTTACTTTTTTTTTTTTTTAATGTATCTGGTACCGTGTCTCACTACACAGCTCGGACTCAGTAATCCTCCTGTCTCAGCCTCCCAGCAGCACTGGGATTACAGGCATGCATCACCACACCTGGCTTTGGTGGCCGGCATGGCATGTGACACGTGGTACCAGGGATCGAACCCAGGTCCTTGCACTTGCCAGGCAGGTGCTTAGACCACTGAGCTATCTCTCCATCCCTTGGGGTAGAACTTTCCATCCTTCTGCCTCAGCCTTCTAGAGTGCTGGGATCACAGGTGTGCACCACCACATCCTGCTTGTGCCCATTTCACAGGCAAGAAACTGAGGCTCTGGCCTGAATCCCAGTTGTCCACAGTCAGAGAGAGCACCGGGCTGGGGGCTCTGGAAAGTCGGTCATGCTGGGGACCCCTCACCTGGATAAGGTCTTCCTGGGACTCCCCACTGTGAGTATCAAGGCAACTGGAAACCATCTTTTCTGGGAACAGGGAGTGCTGGGGAGACAGGAGCTGGAGTCAGGGCTCCAGGGGCCAGGGGCCAGGACTTCAGGGGCCGGGGGCAGGGCACAGGGTATCCGGACAGTCACACTCACTGGGGCGCTCCTGAACAGCTCATACTTGGCGAAGTTCTTCCGGAAGACGAAGCGGCTGTCTCCACCCACCGGCCAGGCCGCCTGTACTTCCACCACAGACTCATGATCTTCCAGGCCACGTTCTAGGGTGGGGGCACAGGGCCAGGCTGGTGGCGATGCACTGGCCTCCCCCAGGGCCGCCTCCCACTCTCCCCACCCCCCTTACCTAGGGCCAGGCAGGGGTGACACTCCACCAGCCCCCAGCTCTCGTCACTCAGGGCCTGTGCGCGGTGCACCAGCATCTCACACACATGCCGCGCCGTGGCTCCTGTGGCCACCTCCACCGAGCGGCAGGCCCCGTCCTCGCTGTATACCTTCACCACCTGCACCCAGAACAGCGAGGTGGAGGCTTGAAGCAGGGCGGGGGCGGGGCGGGGCGGGGGCGGGGCCTTCCCCACCAACCCCCTCCTTCGGACCTGGGAAAGCCAACCACTATGCTCCTGCCTGCATCCCAGATGCAAATCGACCGCACCCCCTACCCTCCTCCCCCCCCACTACTCACGTGGGGGCGGCTGGCATCTCGGGGTAGGAGCCCCCTGGCACTGGAGGGGCCCCCAAGGATGGGAGTGTGTGAAGGGGGGCTGCAGAGCTCAGGGAAGGGGTTGGGGATGGAGGGAAGTGAGGCAGCCCTGCGTTCCTCCTCAGGAAGCTTCCTGGGTGGGGAGGAGGGGCTCGGTCAGCAGGTGCACACCCCCCACCCCCACCTGGTCCCTCTCACCCCATCACCCCATGGCACCCCACTACCTGCTTGCGGGGATGGGCAGAGGCTGGGACCTCCTGGCCTCCCCAGGCAGAGGGGCGTCAGGGGGCGGGGGTGTCACGGGCGGAGTCTCGGGGGCTGGGCACAGGTCTTCTGGCGGACTGCCGGGACTCGGTGGAGACAGGTCCGGCTCCATGACATCTGGGCAAGAGGAAGTCATTTCGTAGAACTGAAGGCCTACACAGCTGCCAGGTGCCCCAAGAGCTGGTTTTGTTCCACTGTTTGTTTGTTTTTCTGTATGATAATGGGGATCAAATCCTGGGCCTCTGCACTCGGTCACATCCCCAGCCCATTTTTTAAAAATTTGAGACAGGGTCTCACTGAGTCCCTAAATTGCCCAGTCTAGCCTAGAACTTGTAACCCTCCTGCCTCGGCCTCCCAGAGTGCTGGGATTCCAGGTGTCTGCTGCACCACACCAGGCTCTAACTCCCCCTCTCCACGGAGGGTAGAATGAGCACCTTTACAAAAGGAGACACTGAGGCCCTGGGGAGCCCTTGTGCCCACAGCTACTGGCCAGCCTGGAGTTGGGACTCCACAGAGGAGCTTGTCCTAAGCCAGCCAGCCAAGGTCCCAGCACCAGCACAGCCTCAGGCTCTGCAACCCATGCCCTGGGCTTGGCTCTCAGGTCAGGCCAATGCCACCCTTGCCTCCCCGTGCGGGGCCATCTGCTGCCCTGGCTGCTGCCCCAGGGGTTCCCAGTGCCCCCCTGCCAGGCCCAGTGGCCAAGCCTGCTGCGGCAGCATCCTGCGGGGTGATGTGCAGGGCGGAGGGCAGTGGGGAAGGGCGATGGCCAGGAGGACTGGTGGCACAGGCCTAATCCTGTGCCCTCCCAGCCCTGTGATCCTGTCCAACCCTTTCCAGAAGTGCCAGGGTATGCCAGGGTGCACACCACCTCCTGAGAAGGCTTCCTGGACTCAGACTAAACAGTTCCCTCAGTGCCAGCTACAGAACACCAGTCATATCTACCCACTGCCTGAGGGCACCGATGCCCTAGGCAGCCGCAGTCTTATCCATATGCCAGCCCCCACAGGACATGGGACCCCTAGGACAAGGAAGGACTACAATGGGGGGAGGGGCCAGCGCGGGCTTCTCCACCACAGGGGCCAAGCAGCCGCTGGGGAGGACCCAGAGGTGGTGCCCACCCCAGTACCCCATGCTTGTGCTCAGCCAGGACCTCCAGGCCAGTGAGGGATCTGGGATCCCCTTGCCAAGTGGGGGCAGGCATCTGACCCTGGCGTGAGGGGACAAGTGAGTCAAAAGGGGAGGGACACTGCCCCAGGTCTCCATTCAACCTTGACTCATCCCAGCTTCCGGGCTTTGGAGAGAAACACAAACAACTTCTCCCCCAACACCTGCAGCCAGGGGGGAGGAGGGTCGGGCCCTGACATCACCTCCTCCGCTCCACCCTCATGCCTACCTCCCCCCAGGCTGGAGACCAGGTGGGACCAGCATTCGGCTGCTCCCTCCCGTGGTCAGTCTTCTGCCTCTGCTCAGCCACCAAGCAGCAGCACCACCAGCCCTGGGAAGGCTGGAGGACCGCAGGGGAGCCAGGAAGAGCGCAGCCCACCTCTGCCTGCCCCCCACCCCCAAGCAGCGGCAGAGCTTGCACCCCGGGTCTGGGCCCAGCCGGCTTTCTGCTGCCGATGGCGGCTCCAGGCCTCGCTCATGTCTCCCCGGGAATGAACTTCCTATCTGATTGTTCTGGCCAGAGGGACCAGCAGAGCAGGACTGGAAAGTCAAACAACGGAGGAGACAGACAGACAAATAGGGCAAAAGACCCCCTCAGAGCATGGGCAGACAGGGGCTCAGGTCCTCCCAGAAAGGGGAGATACACCCACCATCCAAGCTGCCCGCTCCTCCCCTTTTAGGGAGGGCTGGGGAAGGGGGACAGCCCCCCACACCAAGGGTGGGGAGAACTGGAAGCGCAGGAGGAAGTGGACGAGCCTAGTCAGAGCCCCCCCAGGCAACCAGCCTCCCCGCGACATAACTCCAGCCCAGCCTCTCCTGCCCCAGCCGCCCAGCCTCACCCTCCTTCCCACCCTTCCAGCTTGTTTACTTCCTGAATCTCGCCCCACCTGGCCGTTGGCCGGCCCCACGGGCGGGTGGCGGGCCCAGTGTTTGAGGCCAACAGAAAACAAGGCCACCTTCCCAGCTTCCAGGGTGGGGGCAGGGCCGAGGGACCCGGACTGCGGGAGCCCTGTTCTGTCCCCCCACCAGGACTTACGGTGGAGGAGGGGGCTGAGCTTTGGGGGTGCAGGGTCCAAGTGAGGAGATGGGGAACCGCAGGGTGACCCAGAGGTGAGGGAGGGCCCAGGGCACTTAAGTCCCACCCACTCCCTCCACCTGGAAAAGACACCCAATGGGAGAAAGGGGGCAGCGCTTTTAAACTTTAATTTGGGAAGAATGCTTTAGTCTCCTTGGTGGAGTTAATCATTATTTTGCCTCGGGGAGGCCCCCCTCTCTTGGCAAGGTATGGGGGGCGGAGACGGAAGAGCAGAGTCCAGCCTAGGAGCCCCCAAGGGTACTCGTGGGGGCAGAGGGGTACATTCTCTGTCCTCAGCCCTCCCCGAGCCCCTGGTGCAGCCAATAGACCTCCCCGGCCTCGACGCGACAGGCCACCTGCCTGCCACTTGCTGCGCAAGTCCCGCACTGAGGACCCCCGCCCTGCCCCCACCCTCCCTCCTCCCTGGCCGGGGGAACCCGGGCTACCCATCCCCACCTTCCCATCCGGCAGGGGATCCGGGCCTCCGCAAAGAAGGGTCCTCCACTGGGCGCCCAAGTTGAGGGGACTGAGCTGGCTGAGTGACCCTTTCCAACCCCGGGAGTGGGGGCAGCTCGGAGCCCTAGACTGTCCCCACTGGTTAATCCCGTAGAGTCGGGAATGGGGGGGGGGCGGTAAAAGCGTGAAAGGCAGGAAACCACTCTGGGGACCCCGGGGGTGGGAAGGATGGGCTGGAGGGAGAACCAGAGGCCGCTTGAACACTTGGAGCCCGAGTCCCTCCATAGCGACACCACCAGTCCCGCACCCCCAACGTGCAGCGCGCGTCCGGGACCTCCCTGGACCTGGCGCCCGCACACCTGGAGGAGAACGAGCCAGACCCTTAGCTCCATGCCCCCGGCATCGCCGATCGGGAAGGGGGGACCCGGCGATAGCCTGCCGTTCCTCCCCACAGCCTGGCCCACGACAACTCTGCCGGGACTCGGACGGCGGGGTGGGGACAGCGGCGGTGGGGACGATCTCCACGCTTACCTGGAAGAGCCCACCGGAGCAGCAGGACCACGTCTGCTCGGATTCCCGGTCCTCTCCCGCTTCTCTACAGGTGGGAGGAGGACGGCCCCACTCTGGACCCGGAGGCCGGGAGGAGGCGAGCACCCAGATAGACCAGATTCCAGGCCCAAGGAAACTAAAATTATCCTGGGCAGGTTGGGGCGGGGCCTGGCCTTCTGGGGAGGAGCGAGGGAGGGGCGGGACCGTAGACCACGCCCACCCGAGTCTCGGTCCCCCCCACTGACTCTCGGCAGGTGCCTGGGAGGGGCGGGTCCGGAGCTTGAAGACCAGGGCGAGGCCCCACCCACTCTCACTAGCCCCGCCCAGTCCTCCACTCTGCCCATCGCTGCCAAGTTCATTGGCCATTCTAGGGGGCCTGTCTATACCTCCTAGTGCCACCCAAGGGCAAAGGGCCCTCTTCGAGACTAGAAAAATGTCCATCCAGAAAAGTGCCCAGCCACCTGTTCTGCCCCTTGAACTCCCGCCAGTTCCTGGCCACCCTGGTTGCACCCCGACCCCTCAGAGACTCCCACGGGTGCCTCTCTGCTGAGCAAAGTCCGATCGTACCTGCCTCTCTAAAATCGAAGGGTTATGAATGTCCATTTTGTATCTGTGTATTCAAAGTGGTTGGGATAGATATATAGTTGCATTCTCTTAATGAATAGAATGATTTGTTCTAATGGTGTTTGTAAGTAGGATCACAAGTCTGCATCTTGTACAGCAATTAACCACTAGGAAGAATGTATGCAGTGTATTATTTGTTGAAACTGTACCTTCGATTTGATTTGAAACTGTCTCATTGCTATATGTTTGTCAATAAAACTTTGAAAAGAAAAAAAAATAAATAAAATCGAAGGGTTGGGCAAGGTAGGACGGGCTCTGGGCACAGAGGGGACCCCGCAAAACAGTGCCCTGGCTTTGTCCTTCTGTCTGGCCAACACAGGGACAGACAGGGGGCTGGGAGACGGAGACCAAAGGCAACAGCCACCTCCCCATTAAAGGTGCAGAGGAGGGTAAGGTGGAGGAGGGCTAGAAGAGTGGTTCCAGCTGAAAGTTTCTCCAAGCTGAAGTCTCCCTGGAAACCCAGGATGAGCTGGGCCAAAGCAAAGAGACGGGAGGGGGACAGTCACCTGTGACACGCAGCAGCTGGGGCAGGGACAGGCGGACAATGCACACATTCACATAAGCACCTGTTGGTTCCGTTCCCGCCATGTGGTAACCCTGCGCTTAGTGCCAGCGATACAGAGATCAGCAACAGAAACAGCCTCACCCTTAGCCTCCTGCACCCAACCAGGGCCACTGACGTTAACCATAGTCAAGCGGGTAAGGGAGGATGGGTGACAGCCCTGTGGAGAGTGATTCACACAGGGACTCTCTGTAAAAATGAGAACTATGCAGCAGAGGTGCTGGCTGCTGTGCCAAGGGGGCTGGGGTCGGGGTCGCAGGTGGGGAAGGAGCTCAACTCCCGTGACTGGGGCAAGTGCCCACGCGGGGCAGGAGGGGCCACGGTCCCCAGAGGCAGAGTTGGGTGAGGCGAGGGAGGGACTGGGCCCCACGGGAGATCTGAACAAGTGTGGCAGGTGTACAGAAAGCCAGCTGTGCTTCTGAAAAGGTGGCTGGGGACCTCTCACCTACAAGTCCCCAGGGCTTCTGTGAAAAACAGCTCCCTGGGCCCCTCCTGGCGCCTAGTCCGGGTCTGGGCCAGAGCCCCAGGAATTCGTGCTGTTAACAAGCTCTCAGGTGGCTGTTCTGTGAGCCAGTCTGGAGCCATCCGTCCTGTTTGTCCAGACAGGCAAGAGTGGGAGGCAGAGGCAGGGGCTTCTCTGCAGTTTGGAAAGATTAGGCAGCTACAGGGGGTCGGGGTTGAGGGGGGCGAGAACCCGGCCAGGAGCACAGTGATGGAGGATTCCCTTTCTGTGGCTTTCTGGAGCAGAGGCTCTGGAAGGACAGAAAGCAGATCTAGATGCCAGATGTGGGTCCTCTACACCTGCCATCCCAACACTCGGGAGGCTGAGGCATGAGGATCGCCACGAGTTCAAGGCCAGCCTGGGCTACATAGTGAGATCCTGCATCAATAAATAAATAACCAAACAGATTTGGGGCCGGGAACCAGAATGGCTGGCAGGAGGGGCACAGGGATTTGTGGGGGGTCCATTAGAGCTGTTCTGTCTTGGGCCCCGAGGTAGGCACACAACTAAGTGTGCATGTCAGGACGCACAGAAAGGTCCACTAAGGATGCTTTTAGTTTTGTTTGTTTGGAGACAGGGCCACATTCTGCAGTACGGGCCAGCCTTCTACTCAGCATGTAGCCCACACTGTCCTTCAACTCACAAGTCACCTGCCTCAGCCTCCGAGTGCTGGGAGTTACAGCCATACATCATGGATTTTAACTGTGTATAAATTACATATAAATTTGTTCATTAAAGAAGCAATAAAAAAGAACATTTATAGATGTTTCTTGGCTTATCATGGGGTTAATAACCCATTGTCAGTTGAAGCTGCATTTAACACAAGCCTACCCCGGCTAGAGATAACGTGCACACCTGGGCCCTCAGCCAGGCGTGCGCTCCCGAGGGCTCAAAGTGCAAGGCCAGTCTGGGCCGCTTAACAAGACCTGGTCTCAAAAAAAAAAAAAA